TTTAAATGTCTATAATGCTGCATCTTTTAAAAAGTAGATTAATTTTAAGACATTTGTACAACCCTCCCCCCAACCACCAAATCTTTTTAACTTTTAATTGTGAAATAATTTCAAAGTTACAGAAAAGTCCCATATATGTTTCTTCCAGATTCCTTAATTGTTAGCATTTTACACATCTGTCCTATCACTCCCTCTAAATAAATACACACACCAACACACACACAGGCACACACCCACTTTTTTCCAAAACCATTCCACAGTCAGCGGCAGGCATAATACCCTATTACTCCTCATACTTCAGTGTCAATTTCTCCAAAATAAGGAAATTCCCTTATATAACAACCACTATAATGAGGAAATTAACATTGACACAATATTATCATCTAATCCACAGAACCCATTTAAATTTCTCCAATTGTCTCAATAGCCTCAAGTCATTTTCTCTAATATTAGACAGTAAGTAAAAACGAAAATTTTTAATTGGCCTTTTCTCACTTCTATAGGTTTTCTTTTCTGTAAAACTGCATCATTATTACAGCATTCATCAAATAAGCTTATTCTAAGATAATTCAAGGCTCAAAGATGAACATTACCAAAAATGGAGTAAATAATCATATTCTTTTATAAGTCTGGATAGGTCACCTAAAAAGCAATCAGCAAATAAATTCTAGAAGAATCTGGACTCACCTGAGACAAGTGAAACAATAATAAAAATGATATTAAGTAAACATTTTCCTGAGAAATTTTTAATTTTTAATTCTATAAATACTGCCACATTTGTCACTGAAACAGTTTATTTTCTTAATATATAGCTATTATTTCTAAAATAGGATATGTTAATAAAAGATCAAGTATATAAGCCAAGGAATATAAAACATTTAACATCTTATGATATTGATGATGGTTACTGTTTTGATAGCAGCAGATATAAAACATATTCAAGATTTTATGTTTGATGATGGTACTGTCCTAATAAATACTGACAGATATTCTCAGATACCCATGATTATTAACCTATGAAATAAGAGACAGTTCACCTCCCAAAGAGTCCACTATCAGCCACAACATTAAATTTATTGACATAATTACAAAATTAATCTGGAAAAGGTTAGATTTCACTTCTAAAAAGAAACATTTACGTAGAAGCTATGAAGAGTATATTTTATTAGACAACAGGAATACATTTTATAGAATAAAATTTAGGGGCCGGCCCGGTGGCACACTGGATAGTGCGCCGCTTGGGAAGCGCGGCGGCGCT